AAAAAAAAGTTTCGAAACACTGCCCCTGTGAGCATTACGCCCTGAGAAACGTCGCAGAATGGCGACCGAAACGTTGGCACCTTTGCCATGGACGCGGCGTAACCCGGACAGCCTAGTAAATACTGACTCCGGCCGCGGAAGCCCACGCCCTAACGTTTGCAAAATGAGGGGTAAAATCGTGGTCTTTATATATCAGACACGTGTTCATAGAGCGCAGTACAGATCTACCGACTGCAGACTACCGCTACAGTGTCAGGGCGAGGAAGAAATAGTTCGTGTGACTTCTGGGGCGTTGTTGAAATTAATGTTTAGATATTCGCCTAGACTAGAACGGAAGACACAGCGATAACCGCTAATTAGGCATCTACTGCACAGGTTACAAAAAATTCGTCTCAATTGCAACTCCAACAAATGACTTCTATGAAGAAATTTCGACTTGCAACTGCGAGAACTTATATTGGCTTTACACTGGCAAGTGATTGCTTCAAGTAGTTGCAACAACTTTTTTGCGGAGCTCTTTCCACTAACAAGGGCTTGCTGGAGCAAGTATTTGAGTACGAGTACAATGGCAAACGCACAAAGTTTGTGTACGTATACAGCACCCCTGACTGTAGCGTATCATCGAAGTGTTGTAATTAGTTTCTTAGTGCTATCACAAAGTTTGGCACTTAAATTTTCTTCCCCTCTCTACCTTAGAAGTATCAAAAATTAACATTTTGCAGAATACTATATTTGATTTTCTGTAGTTTGATTTCTATTATCATTTGTAGTTACCTTCCTTTAGGACTGTCCTATTTTCTATCTTTTCGACGAATTTGAGCGTGTCCTCAATCATACGTGCCGTAAAAACAGTGATTCCATCATTAAAAACCCGCAAAAAAAGTATTAAGACTGCACGTACTCAGAGTTTTGCTTGGGCAAAACTATTTGTAAACAAGACTATTTACATACGATATCTATATTTTAACCCATAACTTGAAATGCGAAATAATCAGAGAAAGAACATATTCTATTCATTATTTCCATTGGCCTCGGAATTGCTAGCAACTACCACGAGGGAAGATTTAGTCAAACCTGCTCTTCATGGTTTTGAACTTGACAGCACTTATCACGAATTATTTCTTGAGCATGCGATGAGGCAACTTCTGGAAACAGGCATTAACATTGCTTGCGGTGTTGCGGGCCCTTGTGAATCGCAAAGCAAATAAAGTTGCTAGCTCTAGCTGTAGTGGAGCAAAGAAACTTGCTAGGGCATTTACACTCTCAATTTCGTTCACGCACACGAATTCCAGAGCAATTTATTGGGAGTATATTCAGACAGCATAGCGCATCAGATACCTATTGTTGTAGTTAATATTAAATACTAAAATGGAAGTCAGATTACCAAAGTCATAGAGTTGGAGACAGGTCTGGATACAATTAGTTTTCATCAAAATCAGGTTTTGTTTGTATTCTCAATTCTCCATTTATACGTGCCTGTCTTCAGTCACATCTCAATATTTTCTTCTGTTTAAACTGTTATATTAATCTAAAATTTATAATTTCTTCTTAATGTGAAGTTTCTGGACTCGGATTCAATGTATTACGGATTTCACTCTTTCGAATTCTAATTTAAAAAAGCAATATACATAGTTATTTTGTTGTATTAATAGAACACAAATAACACAGAAAAACAAGTAGGATTATTCAATAAGCCTCGTGCTTTCAAAATCAAAATGTATGATGTCAATGCTCAACAATTAGAAACTCACTACAAACATTATAAAAATCAATGTATCTGCACACTATATTTAAATAAAGTTGTTGCCCTGCAGACATTTAAACTTGATTTCCTATAAGTCGCAATCAGGTAAACAGTAGCAAGCAAAATTGATAAATCAAACTCCCTTTGTTAGACTGATATCTTTCAAAAATATCTGAGCACCATCCAACAATATCCGCTTTGCAAAATCAACGAGAGAGGAAGTGGGCGGTGAATAGCAAAGTAGTTACGCATGCGAAACTTGTGCGCGATTTCTTCACAACTACATCGTTCGTAGACAGGCGTCACGCTGCAAAGCTCTAGCAAGATATTCAAATTAAACTCTGTTCGACGACCTACTGGCACTGATACGCGCAAGACCGTGGATCCCATCCTCTTTATGACAGAATCAAATGAACCCAGAAAGGAACGCTGCAAACCGGTCGGCGGCGTTCGAAAAGGTCACGGCGTTAGGGATTGGGGACTCTGCCCTCCACACGCGGCGCGGCTAATGCTGAAAATACTATCCGTGTAACGGCTGGGAGAGAATGAACGCGTCCCAAGCTGGCGGCGAGTCTACCGCTGGCTTTGCGGGCAATGACGTCAAAGAGCCTGGGGCGGCGGGATTCGAAGCCAGCGACTGGAGCGGCGATGGCAGCGTTAGCGACGGCTTCTGGCGAAGACGGCCGACGTGGTCGGTAAGCATCGTGAGTCGGGGCAAGGGCCGGGGACAGGCGAGTCGGTGCGATGGCCGTGGACAAACGCCGAAGGACCGGTTGCAGGAGCGAGACTCTGATTATTTGATTTTACGGGCACGTAATTTGCTATTGTCGTTAATTTCATTAGTGTAATGAATGTTTCATTTCGGGGGGTGGCAATGTTACTTCACCCTGGTTGAACAGATCCGACGTCTATCTACATGTCGGCTTGCTAGGAATTTCTTCCTCTATAATTCTGCCCCCTGCGGTGAACCGCCTCAGCCGAAGCGAGCTTCACGCTCTCAACTGGTCTCTCAACATGTGTGGTAGTATAGTGCACGATGTAAGCGTATGTGAAAGGGGAGATTGTAGGGCAAGGAAGGAAAAGGAAAAAAAATACATCGGTCAAACTAAACGCAAATTAGCATTCAGAGTCAAGGAACATATAAAAAGTATTAGGGAACCAACCAACAGGCAAAATTCAGTAACCAACCACCGAATAAATTCTTGATACAATTTAGATTTAAAAAATGCTTATATTCTTGATAATGAATCT